TTTCCCTCTGAATCCCTTCCGAAAATCGCGCAGCATCCTTGCGCGCGAAACACGCGTATGCCGGTGGACGCACATTGTGTGCCTGTACTTTGATGTACATACCTGTGAATAGTGTATTTTAAGCTTTAGTTTTACGGGATGAGTGTGTGAAAAAACGTAGCGTACATAGTAACCGTGAAAAGATTGAATAGTTTAGAACGAAACGAATGATATTTGTCAATTGGTTGCGACTATAGTCATCGTAATTGAGGTAAAGCTTGTACGTAAATCAAAAGGGGGAACACCTCCATTATTGTACTTGCTCTCATTTTGGAGAAAGGGATTTATAGTATCAAAAACAGTATAAAGTATCTAATTTTGCGAATCTTTTGGTTCCTCCCCCTCTACTTTCCTGCCCCTGATTCCCTCTCGTCCGTTGATGAACAAGCAGTTGTCGTTTTTTGCATGTTTCACTTTTTTTCCTTCGGCATCCCCACAGTTTCGTTCATTCGTCGCTGAAGCGGTCGTGTCGTTTGGTAAAACTCAAAAAGTCGTGTAGACTAAGTTCGCATCCGTTCGACAATTCTCTTTGTGTTCTCGTTCTCCGTGTCCGGCAGTGTTGTCAAAATTCCGGCAGCACCGCTGTCCCAGCTGCCATTGCTGTACTGTCTGGCGTTCAATCGTAGCTTCATAAATACTATTCTCTTTGGTGATTATTCTCGTTATCGTCGTCATTCTCGTCGTCGTGGAAACAATGAAGATGTCACACTGTTAAGAGTCACACGTAGAACATGCTCGCAGAACAGACGTAGCGGGTGATTCTACCTTTAGCTCCAGACGCCGGTTCTGAGTGAGCTAACCTTCACAGTGAGGGTTCCTCTTATCTATTTGATCATTGTTCATCGGGCCTGAAGCAGTGGTACAGATTGACAGAACGATGAAGTGGCTCGGTGCGAGTAGCGCTGGTGCTGCGGGTGAACCGGCACCTTCTATGCAGTTGCACCATCCTTCCGCGAATGGACACATACCCACGGTATGCACTTATTTCAGTTTTTTTATTTTCTATCTTATAATTAATACACGTTGTAAAACGGTTTATTATAAAAAAATTTTACTCGTGATCGAAATGTCATAACCTATCATTTCATATATTTTGTAAAATATCTCATTTTAGACGTTAGGCTAACAATTTATTTATTACACTTATATGTATTTGTTCCATTTTTATGCATTCTGCCACTAGTTGGTGGAAGATGTTTTAATTTATTACTAAGATACAAAAAAAGATTTTTCTGTTGTACATATGCATAAGTATTGCATATGCTTATGCTTTGTTTGATCCATCATGGCAGAATATTGTATAAAGTATAAAGATGTTTTGGTTGCATTCATTAACTTGCTTACTCCGGCGAAACAAGAGTAATCTTGCATATGTTGCTAATTTCTTTGTACTGTTTAAATGTAATAATGTGATTATACATGCTTTGATATCACTACGGTTTTATATTTTAGTATCCTTATTATCTTTTTGGTGAATTATACAAAAAATATTTATATATACATGTTTGGATGATAAAATTAGTGTTCAAATTTTTAAGAAATTTAATATAATAATTCTTATTTATTCATAGGCCAACAAATAGAGCTTAATAATTATAATTTTCTACAGTATTAAAGAAATGTATTGATTTCACATATCTTCACATTTGTATCTGTACAAATGTATTGATTTGAATTTTTATGTATATTTTATGTATGAAGATTAATTTTCATTTAAATAAAAAGTTTTAAAACAATGAAATAATTTGTTTATTAATAGGATGCAGAGCAATGTGGCCAAGTGATGGCTGGTGGTGACAGTATGCGTATACAGCCTGGTCAAACACATCAGATAGGCGTGAACAGAACCCAAGATGACGCTATGGTGGGTTATGTGTTTCAACGACCTACAGAAGCAGAATTTAATGCCCAGTCTTCAACTTTTCAAACAAAACAGGCACCACGTGCTTGGGCCCTTGCAGATGATGCTATTATTGATAATGTGAGTATATTAACTATTTAATACATCACTCTAAATATTACTCTAAAAAAAAAAATGTTTAGTCTTTAATGTTATAAAAAATTAATGCTCCAAAAGATTAGTACTCCAATTTCATAAATAGATCTATAGTACGTTGCTTTTATTTAATTTGATGTTTTGAATAATTTATAGAATCCAGAAAAATGGAAATATCCCATTACTAAACTGAGTGTACCACAACAGAATCAACCGCAACAATTGGGTCTGCAAACAATGAACAATGTTCACCTACCCTATGAAATTCATCCAATGCAACTTAAAGTAAGCTGTATATTACTTAATGTCATAATAATTGAAAGTCACATTACTTCTTATTTTGGTAGTAACAGTGGTCTTTTTTAACGCTGTACAGAGTGGAGCACCAGGAGCAGAACATTTAGTTTATCTTAATAATCAAATGACAGCACAGCAACAAGTTGCCCTCTTTCATCATCAACAGCATCAACAACAGCAACAATTCAGGAATGGCCAGGTAAGCACAATTTTTACAGTTTACTTTACTACGTTATAAATATCATAGAGTTATAGGTGAAGTATTAACAATAAGTTTATTCAATATTTTAATTTATTTTTATGCAATACAATCTGATTATTACGAATATGTGAATATATGATAGAATTTATTGAAATACGTAATTCTTTCGTAATTCGTGTTATCAATAATTATTTTTTCGCTGTGTATTTGTCTTAGTTTAATTATATACAACTTCAATTATGGTATAAAATTTTTAAATTCCATAAGCAAAGTTAATAGAACAAATTGATTCAGAAGTCTTCAGAAGCATAGAGCCTAGTTGTAAGATATATTGAAAGAATAAATTCGGTATATTTTTATAGGAAATTATTGTATAACTTGATAATTTAGGAATAATTAAAAAGCAATATCATTCATTGATTTACAAGATTGTATTATTTCATAGAGTCGTTATTTCTCGATGTAAATAATGCATCCGATCTGTTAAGGATTCAATTCTGGTATTTTCATTTGTTTAAGTAAAAAAATTCATTGACTCTGATGCTGGTAGTTAACAATTAAATATGTAGAAAGTTTCGTCGAAACCTTCTCGACAAACGGGGTCAGGGTTAAAATTTGATGATTCAAACTACAGTATTTAATTTTTTTAAAAAGCATGACTCTCCATTTATTTTTTAATTGCAATTTTTAAGGAAGTATTCTGCTGCATTTTTGTTAGTATTTTTTGTGGGCAAGAGATATTTCTTCGTCGTCACGATTTAAACTATGATTGCTGCTCCTTCAATTTATCTTTCGCATGATGTTTGCTTTATGAGAGTTTTATTTATTTATTTCTTTTTTATTTAAATTTATTTTTCTAAAATACAATTGATGCAATTAATATAAACATTTTTTAATTGTAGAAATATATGTTTCTAGTACGTAAAGAAAAGTTTCTTATTTTTTCATCTTTTAAAATATATTTGACGTGATATTTTGAAAATAATCTGTACTATCTGAATACGAAAGAAAATTAATTTTTTTATGGTTAAAATGATGTGACATCGTGTATAAACAGTTTTCGAGAACGTAGCAATATACGTTACATTTGGAATAGTATTGTCCTTCATTCGTGACGTTAATATTTAGTCAGGCCAGGTAAATTTACTAAGCACGATCAAATTTTCATCCGGTCGTCGTGAGAGGTCGTGCAATGTAAGAAGGACGATGATTGGTTAGTAGCGTTCGCAAAGCGGAAAGTGACTGTCAAAATCCTCGGTAGAGGGCACTCCGCTCGAGCGTCGTTCTTTGTTTCGGTTAAGAGGGCAGTCTCTATCGAAGAGAGAGGCCGGTTAACGAAAATTCGAGGAGAGACAAGTAACAGCATCGTGACGCTGAGCGTTATTTTAACGCACGAAAACGACGCGTCTCGCGATATGTCAGGACGGACGTGAATTTAGGCAAGAACACGTAATCGACTTGCTCCCCCTGTAAATAAACGCGTATTCGCGGAGTGAGTGTGCAAAGTGCGCGAGAGGAGAAAGGAGGTGGTAGGAGGAGGAGGAGGAGGTGGAGGAGGAGGAAGAGGACGAGGAAGAAGAGAGGAGCATAGGTAGCAGTGGCAGCATCGAGGCACCCGAGGTGTCGAACTGTTTGACAGGCGGCCGAACGCTTTTCTTTCTCTCTCACACTCCCGTCCGTGGTGCCGCGACTCGTATTGTTCGGCGGCGGTGTGGTATGCTCCGTTTACAAGAGGTCTGTCCGTTCAGAGAGGAAAAACGAACGTGAAAACAACCGGGAGTGGTGTGTATTCAGTGCCGGCTGAATCGGCGTCCGCGCCCCGACGCCGCCGTTGACGTACGATTCACTAATTTTTCAACAACGCATCACCAAGATTCTACGAATCTTCTCCAAGATAACTTCGTCTACAGGATAGTGCGTGTTAAACAGTGTGTGTTCGATTTCGTGTTCGCGTTGTTGGTGTACCACGGGGTTAACGGTGAATCTCTCGAAGGTGACGCGCCGTGCCGAGGGTACCTTGGAGACGGTGGAGAGTTTCGGTATAGGGTACGGCCAGGGAGCAGGCACGAGTACAAGCGACTGGATGAAACCACCGGGGGATCTTTTCCTTTACTGCGACATGAAGGATTTGGGGGCCGACATGGTATTTATTTTCGTTCAGTATGACCTCTTTTTCAAATTTTTACGTTTCTCCTTCTCTCATCGTAACACGAGTCATCGTACATTGCGAATTTATAGGTTATGTTTCGAAGATTTTTATTCTGCAATGGAAACCTCCATGTTTATGGAGCTCTAAGGGGAACACGATTCGTTTGTGGTGATCATTGATGTTAGTCGCGTATCGTAACATGGGCAAAATATGTGTTATTTACGGCAAGGAACCTTGGTGAATTTGCGAACCCTGCATTACCATGATAGTATTTTATAACCTTTCTGTTGATCATCTTACACATAGCGAATATAACAAATAGCGTGTGTAACGGTATATTTTTATCTCGTATCTCGTTTTCCTATTGGTGTTGTCATTTTCGTAAAAAGTGTAATTCAATAAGTGACGTTAAATAATTGCGGTCTTTTGTTTTGCACATTCCGATGTAGCACGAGTATCTGTCAAAGTATTTTATGTTTACGTTACTTGACAGGTTCAAAATACTCTTTTACTGGAACTTGATTGAAGTATATTGTTATTGCTAGTTACGCAATAAGCGTATCGTCGGTTTCCATTGTCATTTTGACAATAAAGCGATATTTTATACTTTATAAACAATCGAGTATCTTCTCTACTATTAAATTCGGGTCGACTTTTCTAGAGTTTACTTTGAATTTTTTTTAACAATAAACATTGTTTCTGGTATGTACATAGTTCGTTAATGATATTTTTTTTTTTCATCTTATTTACTTACACTGTATGAAAACTTATTCAGGTTTTATTTATCGTTGATATACTAGCAAATGGTAAACAAAATTCCTACTATTTGTATTTAAGTCGATAGTTTTACGGGGGATGAATAAATTAACGATCACGTTTAAACGATGCATTCTCATTAGGAAAAAAAATCGAGTTAGATATGATTTACTACAATCGGAGTACATTTGTTATTTAATATCGCGTAGTGATTACGGTGTAATTTTTCAAACATATTTCCATCGGTGAAATTACGTCTACGGTTAAACATGGTGAAAAGGAATGGATGATCCGAATCGCGTGTAAAATATTCGTACGAGCTTGCTCTCGCATGGAGGTATCCGATAGTTATTCAGCCAATCAGGTTTCTGAACTCGCTTAACCTTGTAATATAACAACGAACTATTAGCATTGCCTTGTACTTTAACGATAAAAGGATAGCTGGTTTCTTCGGGCTGCGTGCATATTAACCGGAACTAGATAAAATTTGAATTTCGATGAATCGTATTGCAAAACGCGATTAAATAATTCAAAACGATTTCGCGGAGAGGAAAAAGGGTTTCTAGCGGGAAGTGGGGGAAAGGTTCGCACGTTTGCCGACGCGATAGCTGTGAATTTGGATCCTTGGAGCACTGTCGGCGCGTTTTAACCATAGAAAAAATATGTATCCAGACGTCCGCGCTGAATCCTTGCAGCGCTCCGTTCCTCCGGCCATTTCTTCATTGTTTACGTCCTCGAACTCTACGGCAAAACGCCCGGACGTCTGTCCTTCTCTCTCTTCCTCTTTCCTCGTCTTCTCTGTCTCGCTTTCGTACACGGAACAAGCAAAGCGGAGGCACGGGAGAACGTTCGCGTTGTTTTAGGTTAATGTACTTTCGCACGGACTAAGAATGCTTCTCGTGGAAGAATCATATTGTATAATATAAAAAAATGCGTGCGTTGTTTCGGAAGAGTTTCAGACTTGATCTAATTATCGATCAGCTCGTTTTTATCTCGCCGTTAAATTACAAGCATCGCATTTTCGTTCATCGTTGCTCTTTTGCGTATGATGGCCATGTTGTTTGGACCGGTGCCATTTAAATTTATACGGCTTTATATTTTGCATGTTTCCCCTTGCTTGTCGTTGTTCCCCCTTTGGGTGCACCTAATCGATTGAAACACTGTCAGGGTTCTCTCTGGACAGCCGTGTCACATGTGAACGGTGCGTGTGCCGAAAAACTCAATGGAAATTTTTCAATATTTCCTTTATCGCGTACGGTTTGCAATTTAGTAATACAGCTGCAACCATATCTCCGCACTTTCGTTATTTTCTTTCACGGCGCGCAGAATATTATTCTACGAATACCTATTCGGAACCGTTTTACGCGATTTGCGTGGGACCTCTGCACAGTCTTCTCATCGTATTCTTCGCATCAGCGACAAATTTTGTCGCGAATTTCGTCTCGTCTCGGACGTGTTTGTTTGGCTTACTGACTGAGACACTGGTTCGAGCTTGCTCCCCTCGGAACCGTGTGCATTGACGATACCGCATTGATAAAATCGCGAAAGATAAATACATTTATCCGCGAGTCAGATGCACTATACCGCGCTAGTCTTGCACCGATATAAACGGCAAATATGCTTGGAGGGATATCGATTTGCGTGAGTCACTCTATCTCTTCTAGCTGCTTCGGGGTTCAGGGTTGACCTTACTTGCCACGAAATGTTTCCAATTAGCGTCGTCATCCGGTTCGTCATACTCTCGATCTTGGGTTCGCTTCGATCTCGCGTAATTCGCTTTCGGGAACGGCTTTGGCCAACCATATTTACCATCGCGCCGTTTCAGGAGGCCCCCGAAGAAAGCTCGGGGCATAATCCTCGCGGTTTACGGATGTGCACGGTGAAGTATCGCGCATAATGTTACAACATAAAAATATCGGGTTGTCACCTCGTTGCAACGAACTTTCTCTTCTCTCTGGGCGACAGTAACAGATGGTTACGGATAGTTATGCAGTTAACGCCCACGACTCGCAAGCCTCTCTACGATAATCGTTACACAAGATCAGTGTCGCTCTTCGATTATGTTGCATCCGTACTTCTTATCTACGTTAAG